TTAACTTTCCTGAAATAATGAAAGAGATGTTGTTTCTTTCACGATGTATACTATATTATATACAAATATCAATTAAAGAAATGATGTTTACCTACGGGAGAAATCTCACAAAAAAAAAATAAAATAAAAAATAAAATTTTTTTATATAATTCTAATTTTTAAATCTTTAAATGATATATATATATATTAAATTAAATTATCAATTGGTTATTAAATTATAAGCTAAAATAAGAGTCCAAAGACTTTTGCAACAAACTGTATATGTATTTATATAAAATTTTTATAAAAAAATTATTAAATAAACTTTATCAAATAATTTTTTGAATGTTTAAAAATATATAATTTAATTTTTATGTTATATTAATTGAATTTTTTCAAAAGATATAAATTATAAATAATTTTTACTTTATTTCTTAAGTTATATTAATATTAACCAAAAATAATAAAGGTAATATAATAAGTATTTTTTATGGTTTTAAAAATTTCAAGATATGATATTTTTTTTATTTTAGCATGTTCGTGTAACAATACGTAATTGAGTTGAACATTACATCAAAATTATGTTAACAGGGTGTGGGGATTGGATGTTTTTTTTCATGCTAGAATAAACAATTCTTCTATCAATATTTTTCTCGCTGCTACTTTTGAAATTATCCGAAAACTCATATCTCAAAAAGAAGTTAAGATGGCGCAACAGCCTCTTGTAAACCGCATCTTGACGCTTGTCAAGGTATTACCAAATTATTACTACGCGAGTTTAGAACAGCAAAGTTGTCAATTTAACAAACTTGACATTTCATTTTAGCATCCGCAATTCACCTGGTGGATAGGGCATTGTGTCGTACTTTTCTGTTCATTCTTCTACTTTTATTATTGGATCACCTTCCGCAACGCTGAAAGAACAAGTTACTATTATACAGCATATTTAGGTGCTATGTTAAGTTATGGGGTCGTAGTATATAAAACATTTGGTGTAGGTTTCTTATTTATTTTCATGCTTTATTGGTCGATCTAAGAATATACACAATTGATCTTTCGACTTTATTATTTATAATATTCTACAAAGTTCACAAAACGCTGATCTAATTTATTTTCAGAACTGACTTAGTATTTCTGTTCCCGGATTTGTATATTAGACACCACATCCATCTTGGAAATATTTTCAAAAGATTCACAAAGATGAAAATGTATTTTATCTGGGGTTATCTGTATTGTGGTTCTTGAATGCTCCAGTTATAGGTAAGTTTTGACTTACGTATTTAAGCATAGTTTGCAATTATTAATATTATTCATGACAATAACTCATGCTCGATTTATATCAGTAACCCTTTTACCGTATGCCACATTCTCTTTATTTCACTCGATTACGTATTTCCGTACCAATATTCTCCCAACATTTTTTCCCCCTTCACATCAGCCTTACTCCGGATCACAGTCTTCATCGACATCATCCCCCTATGAACAATGGGCGAACAATATGTCAAGGTTTATTATGACCTGGGTTCAACGGCATTATGATCAAGCAATGAGAACTGTTAGTTTTTTTGAAGTAGTAGTTATCACGCTCATGTTAATTTGGAATATTCTAATGTAAGTTACATTTGTTACTGTCTTTCATATTAACTTTCGAAGATAACTTGTACTCAATAAAATATTGCCATTTCATAATAGGTTTCGCCTTAGCTTCTACACACTAATTATATATTTCTTCTTTCTTCGTATGCGATATCATATGAATCAATTTTCCCGGCAAGCATTTATTGAATTGGGTCAGTTTTTGGACGGATGGCTAGTGCCCCCGTCAGCTAGTGCAAATATTCCTTCATATGTTACAAAAGCTTACCTACAAGCCAAATCTGCAGTTATTTGGGCTGGTAGCTTCAATCCTCAAAGACGGTGAATGAGTTAACATTAGATCAGTCGAGGTTGAGAAATCAATATAAACTTCATATTGATGTATAGGAATTTTTTAGTTCACTTTATGTAATATTTAAAGTATTTTTTCTTTCAGACTTGAATTTCCTAGCCCATAAAAAATAGTGATTCAATTTAAATACATTATTATTGTTCATTTTGTTGTTGTATACTTTATGTCCACGCCTCGATGTTTGTAAGGAATGTAAATTTAAATATATTATGAATTTTGTATCAAAATCTATAAAATTAATAGAAAAATAATTTTATTTTGATTATCATAATCAATTACAAGTTTTGGTTTTTAGTGATAAACTTTATAAAACCTGTGGTTAATTTTTTGATACTTATTTATAGTAATTATTATATATTATATATTTTGAATAAATAAAAATATAATTTATAAGAAACTTCTTATTCTTTTGAAGCCAGATCAATAGATTAGATGATTTAAACTAATGATGAAATTTCTATTTCTTAGGTTTTTTTAAAAATATAATTTATATAAATAGCAATATGATATTGCTGAATTATAATAAAGTAAAATAAGTTAGCATTAAGCTAAAGTCTAATATTTTAAATAATATTTAAAGTAATCAAGATATTACTATATATATATTAATTTTAATTTTTTATTTTTAAATACTAGTTGAATTTTGTTTTATTAAAATTTACATTGTATATATTGTAATAGAATACACTAGTCCAAATTAGGTTATTTGGCTGCCAAATTACAGCCAATTAAATTCAAATTTATTAATAAAAGTTTATATCAAAGTTTTGTTGTTTGGTTCAATTTATGCCATTTGGCACTTAAAAAATACATAATAATTTGGCAAAAAAATAGAACATTTGATAAAAAAATAATTATTTGGCAATAAAATCATTTGGCAATAAAATAATTTGAAAATAAAATAATTCAACAATAAAATCATTTGGCAATAAAAGCATTTGATAATAAAATTATTTGGCAAAAAAATATTTTAATTAAAAAAATTCAGCAATAAAGTTACAATATTCTGTAATAAAAATTATAGCATTCAAAATAAATTTTTATTATTTAACTATAAAGTTGCCAAAATCATTTAGCACTATATGCTTTGGTAAAATCAAATTGTATATTTTCAATAAAAAAATAGCATTTGTAATTATATTAGACAAAATTTAATTAATACTTGATAAATTTATTAAAAATATAAAAAATATAAAATTTGAAATAATTATTTGCATGTTATTTATTAATTATTCACTTGTTCACTAATTAATTATTTGATAATTGTTTATATATTATTTACTAAATTTCTTTTTTATTTCTTTATTCAAATCTTTTTACTTATAATCTTCATCTTTTTCTTTTGCTAATTTTGCCATAGCTTTTATAACTTATGACAATTTTATAATATCAAATTTTTTTTGCTTTGGGATGCTTTTTTGTGGTTTTTGTATTTCTTGCACTTTTTGTACTTTTCATGATTTTTCTTTAATTTTTTCTTTTAATATTATCTTCTGAATTTTGCTCATTTGTGCATTTTCTCCAGTTTGATACTTTTTTCTCTATAAATACATAAGTAATTTCTTATAATCAGATATCTTTCATCTTTTATATTTTTTATCAATTGTTTATCTTTTTATTTTGTTCTATTTCTTGCCTTTTATCCTCTGATTTATAAATCTAACTTGGCAAGTTTTTTGGTGAAGTTATATTATGTCAATAAAATTTGCTATAGTTTTATTTACAAGTCAGTTGAAATAATTGAATCAACTTTGAGTGTTCATTTAAATTTTTTAATAAATCTTTTAATTATAAAATAATTAGTAATGAACTAATTATTTGACATAAAATCATTTATTAAAAAATACCTCATCAGAATGCCAACTAAGGATCCTAACGATTCTCTTTGATTCTGTATTTGATTCTCAAGTTTATATTAAATTTAATAGGTGGGGTATACCCCACCATCATTTTTAATAGTGTTCCAAACCTTATGCGATTCTGTTCGATTCTATTCGATTCCAATTTTCGGAACCATAATGCCAACTATAGTCATATACATATGTTTATTCTTTTTTTATTATTGTTTTCTAAATCAGTTTTACTTTCTTTAACTAAATGGTAGAGATTACAATAGATTGAATCAGATCAGATTTTAGCTAAATTTAATTTAATTCATTTTTAAATATATAATTTGAATTCAAATTGGATATGATATAGCTTGATTCGAATCTAATTTTACTTGATTTGATTTGTATTTGATTTGATTTAATTTGATTTGATATGATTCAATTTATTTTGTTAATATATATAATTTATTTAAGCAAAATTGTTTTTATATATTTCAATTGAAGCATGTTTAATTTAATTTAAAAATAAATAATTAAAATTTTATTTTTAAATGAAAATTGTTAATATAAATAAATTATAAAATACTTGAAATTTTATTTCTAATTTACTTATGAATGATTGTTATTTTCTATATTAATATATGTTCCTTCATAATTAGTATTATTTTTATCATTTTTTTTTATCAATTCTTCAAGAGCTTACAAAGCAAAAGAATCTGTTGATAATTGGTTATGTCAGTAATTCATATGATATTTTTTTTCTTTACCTTCCTTCTATTTTTTTACAGTTGTTACTATTTTTTTGGCTAAATTTTGAGACAGTTCACAAGTTATATGTAACATTTAATGTGTGGGGACATTATAATGTTAGGATTAATAAAGGAAAACTTTATTAAATATGAGAGAA